ATCCAAAAAGTTTCTTTCAATAAATACATTCTGAACATTTATTGGGAGACATTAGCTAAATGTGAGATTATATGTTTCCTCAAGCCAGCACTAACAGTATTTATCACATTTTCCCAAGACATTCTTAATCAGTGAGTAAACAAATGAATGAGTGAATTCAGACTTGTTCAAGGTCACAAATTAGTCACTAGAGGACCTGGAACTAGAACCCCCATCTCCTGATTCCCTGCCAGAACATTTATGATGTTCACTAGGAAAACTCAAGGAGGCGTCTTAGCTTAGCTCCCAAATGATCGATGCAAGCCCATCCAGGGAAAGTAAACGCAGCACTGTGGCACCAGCATAGGGAAGATATTCAGTTTTTCCAGTGTCTCTGGATCAACCCTCTCCTGGCAATGATAATGACCCTACAAATGCCTTCTATAAAAATATAAAGGACCGTCATCTCTATTAACCCTTTAAACAGCTCCCCCTTTATTGCCTCCTTGTTTCAGAGTCAAGGTATACAAAGGCCTTGAAATCAGAATTTTACCAGTCAGCCAGTTCCAAGTGGTGTGTAATGGGTTAATGGATGAACCTACCCTGACGGACAAGAAAGAGAAGCAAAGTGTCATTAGTGGTATTCTGGCCCATGATACCTGAGGAGTATTACTTGTCTAAAATCCATTGCTAAGCAAATTTCCATTCTGGGTCTAGATACTACTATATTTACAAATCACAAAAGATGACTTGATATGTAGGCCTTTGAGATGCCACTCAGCCTTTCTCAATCCAGATTCCTCATCTGAACTACGAAACACAGAAAAAAAAATGTCTGAATGACTCTCTTCTCAATTACCTCAAGAATGGTACATGACCTGGACCATCCTTTATACTTAGAGAGAAGGTGATCCATTACACCCAACAGATGCTGTAGGTCATTAGGGATTGACTTAGTTGGGAGACACTGGCTGAGAGATATAGTAGAGTAGTCTAATATACCTGCAAGTCATGAACTTGTCACAGTCGTTCTTACTATACATGCTTGTGAGCACACACGCACACACACACACTCTTCCAAAAAGCCCTCTTTTTATGAGCTCTTTACAGTGAAAGTGGGTGCATTATCTCCAAAATTTTGTCAGAGGGAAAAATCAATTTGCATTCGTGTGATACAAAGGTGTTATTTTTTTCTCTTTGAAAACAATAACAGGAAAATCAGTAAATCTTTTGTAGATATGCAAATTGTAACTCAAACAAAAAAAAATTGCTGGTATGTTTCTAATGAAGAATATCAAGTGGATTTTGTAGGCAAATTAGACCAAAATATATTCCTGTGAAGTATTTGGGAAGCTATTTCCTACTTTGTAGTTAATCAACAAATAGCGCTAGAGCAGCGGTTCTCAACCTGTGGGTCATGACCCCTTTGGGGGTCGAACGACCCTTTCACAGGGGTCGCCGGGTACTCGTATGTGGGCGTATCTGCATGTGGGCCTGGAGACGATAGAGGAGCGGTGTCTCGGTTCCTAAGACCATCGAAAATATGTGTTTTCCAATGACCCCTGTGAAAGGTTGAGAACCGCTGCCTAGAGCATCATACTCTATAGCTTGGGAGGACACTGCAAAGAAAAAACACTTTGCATATTTTACCAACTGATTACTAATTTTCTTTCTTTCTTTCTTTCTTTTTTTCTTTCTTTCTTTGTATTTACATTGCTTGATTTAAATCCCTTGTAAAACAAAAGTCAGCGATTTCTCTCCTATCGTTTCACTTTGGTCACTAGTTTGCATTTAGAAAATCAGTTTAGAGTTGGCAGAATCAAGCAGAGCTTGAGAAGAAATTCAAATTTATAGATCGCCTCTAGGAGTCAGGTGTGGTGCCAGGTACTTTGCACATATAATCTCATCTAAGGTGAGGGGTTTTATATTTCCCTTCTGAAGGTTAAAAATATGAGACTCAGATTCACACAGCCATTGGCAGAAGGGATTGAAACAGATTTCCATGGCCCATACATTCAGAATTATTCCAGGACTCAGCACATCTTTCTCCAATGATAATTAGAAAATAAATTAGGACATTTTAATTATTTTCAGATTTGTATCCCCTGTTATTCAGCAGACAAGATTTCTGTCAAAATATGACCACTTTTAATTTGCCCTCACATAAGATCAAAAGAAACGGGGAGCAATAAAATGAAGAAATTAAAATTCATGAGTGATACCGTAAACTTGATCTTCTTGTCATGACTGATCCAAATGTACAGTATTCCCAAAGAACTGATGTGCCATGTTTTACGAGAAAAGAGAGCAATATCCTTAGAATCCTGTGGTGGAGGAAACAGACATAGAATATAGCCTGATGAATTAATTATGTTATTTTTTCTCAGATTGTGGTAAGTACATCAACTTGGCCCAGAATCATTTCCACACCTTTCTTCATTTGAAAATGTCACTTTCACTGATGCTCTTTAATTAGGTTCCCAGGAATTAGGAAATGCGCTCATGCCCAGCTAGAACGAATGTCTGGATTCACTGTCCCACAGGGTCTAACCTCTAGAAAATCCATTGTCACCTGCTGCTCATGGAACTGTTTTGGGTCTTCCTCCTTCTTGGCATGGAGCCTCCTATTAGAAAAGAGAGAACAGTAACTAAAAGCATTTTCTTTTGTTCAAAATCACAATGCAGAGGCGCTTTAAGAATAGGAGAAAGTCTTTCTGCTAAGCCTCTTTCAACACAGCATTAATATTTATTAACTTCCACTCTGCTGTAGAATGAATGTTTTATGATCAAAAATGAGTAACAACAAAATGGGGATTTCAACCACAAGCGGCCTACTCTTCCACTGATAAAGAACTCAGGATGGAGTTAGCCAGCCACTGTCTCTGTGTTTTGGGGGACTCTCATTCACTAAATTAGACAAAGGAGTATTTGAATACTGCTCCATGAGATTACTGGAAACAATACTCAGAAAGTTATGGGCTTCCTTTATCAGTAAGCACCAAGTAAAATGAAGTTATGAATTAATGTTATATTAATGCTACATTAACAAATAGGACATATATTAAAAGGAATAAAGGATATTTCAAAAGCTCAGAATTACACATTTTAAATTTAGATTAGATCAATTCTCAAACAACTCAGAAAAGGAGAGGGTTGTTTTGTTTTGTTTTTTCCAATTTTGAACAAAAGCATGCCTGTCTTAAGTTGTCCTGTTCATTCATTCAGTATGTATTGAGATTCTGTTTGCCAGGCACATAGAAATGCAGGGTTTCAAAATCAGCATCAAGGTCTAAAAAATGACTTTCATGAGATCTTTACTATTGAAGATTGTCCTTACTAAATTTTTTGTAATTCCTCTAACTACGCAATCTTACCACAGCTTTTCACGGTGAGTTATTACATATTAAAAATGAACAGGGCCATCTCCCCTTCATAGGCAATGGGCACATAGCACAAAGGCACAGAAAGAATTTATTTCTGTCCTGTCAATTTCGATGATTCAGTACAGGGATAACGGTACTGGGACTGTGTGACAATGAATGTTCCTTTTCATAGTCTTGAGTGAAGTTTCTACCTAAATATTTTAGGAGTAGATTTCTAACACACTTCTTGTTTCCATTGTGTCTAAGTCGTATAGGAACGGGGAGTAAGCACAAGTTTTGGAATCAAGCAGTCCTGGGTGTGAATTCTGGTTCTGTGTGAAGTGAACGCTTAGAAAACCTACTTTGCCAGTTTCTTCATCCATGAAATAAACACAACAGCATCTAACTTGCAGGATTGTTGCAAGGAATATAGATAATGTATACAAAGCAGCTAGCTCACAATAGTGTTTGCCTTTCTCTTTATATCAAAAATCTGAAAACCACGCTAAGAATTATTCTGTTTTTGGTAGAGTAATTCACCATGAAATTAAAATAACAATAACAACAACAAAAATAAAATAGTGACGGTCATTTTGAGCCTGATTCATATTTGTCTCATGAGGTGATTACTTTACATTGAACATTTCCATTTAAATAAGGTGTCTAATAAGAACAATGTTGACTTAAAATAACAGGATTTCCGGTTACTGAATGGACTTAACAGAAAGGATCATCCCCTAGCCCACACATTCTCCACAATGTTCACTCTGCAGTGCTTGTTAGAGTACAGACATGACAAAGAAAAGAAAGAGGGCCGGCCGAGTGGTGCGATGGTTAAGAACTGGCTTGGGACGCCAGAGGGCCCCGGTTCGGATCCCACACATGAGGGCCAGTGACACTG